CTGTGACACTCAGAGTGCTCCATCAGCTACTAGAGCTATACAGACTCAAACGCACTGCTGCGGTGTGGATGTGGCCGGTCCCCAAAGGCTTGTGCATTGTCAACTTGGTTCCAGGTCTAGCAATGCTGCATCAGTAAGAGGGAGGCCACACGGGCACCACCCTCAGAATAGATGAGTATTGATCTTACAGGGTAGGCGAGGTCTCAGGACACTGGATAAGTTCCTATAAGAACCAGCTGGGAACAACAGCTCCAGGGTATCTGCTCTATTTCTTCGCTAGTATATTCCCCAACAGCAATTGGCCTGTGCCCCTCCTACATTTCCACCATAATGTGATTGACAGGATGCAGGTGTGAGGTGCCAGCACAGTTGAGACAAACAAATCTCTTCGTAAGGTACCCAGCCTTACGTACTTTCTCATAGCTAAGAGGGTAAAGGCACAGACTAAAGAGCATCCCTGGGCATGTAGTCATATTAATGGGACTTAATCTTATTCTAAACGAGTATTCAAATATTGATGATATCTTACATTATGAAATATACTGGGGGGGGGGGTCCAGTTACTTTTGGAAAGTGAAAATACTCCCTAAAGGACATTTCTATAAAACACTTCTTAATCTAAGAAAGAAACAAATATGATGAAGTTCTCCTAGCAATGTTGCTAAGTTTAACATGCAGCTGGTAAAAATATTCGTTATCAGATACTGATACCATCACTACACCAAACTGTTTACTGGTGGAAAAACAGTATAGTAGTCTCCCCACATTGTAAAAAGTAAATTCTCAGCTGTAGCATGCCATTCTCTCAGCTTAACACAACCCAATAGTTCCCACTCAGAGAAAGTCAAATCCTCTGGCTAGGTCCTGATCTCTGCGTCCTTGGCTGGCTCCACCTCCAACAGTTCCCTGCCTGCCTGGTCCACACTGTGCCTTCCCCCCACCCCCCACCCCCGGGCACATCTCACAATGCACAGTTGCATACGCACTCAAACAACGCTCTACTATTTGCCCACACTGGCGATCAGCTCCGTGCTGATGTGTTTGTTCGAGGCAGTCTATCCGATACCTGGCATGATGCCTGGGCGTGGAAGGTGCTGGATAAATATTTGTTGAATAAATGAATGGGTGAATAAAATATGAGGCCTTATGCCTATGTAACAGATCTGCCAGAAGTAAAACAGGACTTCTGGTACTTCTAACCCCATTATATAATCAGAGAATACCTGTATCATTCCAAGAGCAAATATGTACACAAATAAAGACTATACAAATAGAGATTATACAGCAACAGCATGGGCTTGCCATCAGAACCTGCCCCCGATTCAATGCTGGCATCCATGGGTGACTAAGAGGCCCCGTCTCCCACTGACTTTACCACTGGCAGACAGACATCTTTGTTCTATCCTTAAACAGAGACAGAGGGAAGACACGAGGACAAAGGTGTCTGGAGAAAGGTCAAGCCAGACACCAGGTCACTGAAATGCAGGAACGAATAAACTGTAGGTCATCGTGGGGAGCAGGGGCCGGGACAAGCTAAGCCAGTAACATCAACAGTGAAGACAGAAACGGCAGCAGGATGTAGTCGTGCCTAATGCCATGGCCGGGAAGACACGGAAAGAGTAATATGAGTGTTTAGGTGCTGGGAGTTCAGCTCCCCATACTGCCTGTCCATCAGAGTACTGGCTTACAGACTCAGTTAAATATGTATGCATGAAAACACTGTACCTAAATGGAGCCCAGAAGCAGGAAGGTCAGCAGAGCAAATATGGCAGCAGGAGCAGCAGCGCCACACAGACAATGGTGTGCATCTGAGAGACCCAGGAAGGCAGAGCCTGAGACTGAGATCCAACCCCTACTCATGCTGCAAACAAAATTCTGTGTTTCCCAGGCACAAAGCCCTTGAGGCAGTGGTATGAGGTACGAAGACAAGCAAGGCTGCCATAGGGCAGTGGTTGCCATCTGCACACCCACCACACACACCACGTCCCTGGTCTCTCACTTTTGGCTGTTGTGAGGCCAAGTTGAACCTACCAGACTCTCTCCTAAAAATGCAACCTTTAGTAAGGAAATGGGATGGTGAATCTGAGTCACTGCACAGTGAAGGAGCCGCCATGTTAATAACTTCCCTTGGGCCGTGCACTGTCCTCCGGCAGCACTGGGCTCTCAACTTCTGCCCTAGCTATCATCATTTCTCTCCTTTTTGTCCCCCCACTTCTTTCTTTAGCGAGAATTTGCTTGTAACCCAAATACACTATGGCTCCTGCTTACTACTGTCCATTTGCTTAGCTTGAAAATGAGAATCCATCCCAAGGCGCTGAGAAAATATTTTTTTTCCAGATTGCAAAGGGTCAGGACCAATTCTTAGTGCTGTGGGTAATGTGTTTAAGTACAAACTCACACAGCTACTAAGAGATGAATGATTTAAAAATCTTGAGGCAAAAATCTAAGCATGTAAGAAAAATAACGAAAGCTAAACCGGCCAGTAAGAGAGGCGGGCAGGGGAGAAGGAAGAGCGCTGTGCCCATAGTCCCCAGAGTCAGCTACAAATTTGTTACAATTCATCACAGAACAAGCTCAGATAATCAAAGCAAAATCTCTACAGCCTGAGTATGTGAGTGTATGAGTGTGTGTGTGTGTTTGTCTGAGTGTGTGTTTGTGTGTGTGAGCGTGTGTATGTGTGTGAGTGTGTGAGTGTGTGTGTGAGTGTGTGTGCACATGCGCGCACATGCATATGTGCGTGTTTTCTTAGGGATCAAACTCGGGACCCTGCACACGCTAAGCAAGTCCTCTATTACATGCTCCAGCCCCGGCTTTCTGTATCTTTTGTCAGCCATTTTATTAACATAAAACTCCTGATATTAAAAGGAAATAATGGGTGCATGATGTGAAGTTCCCGAAGAAAGAATAAAAATGTTACGTTGAAAAAGAAGGAAATAATCAACAGTACAGATCCAAAACAAGGCAAGAAGGATGAATGTCTACAGCTCTACAAAATTAAAAGGGCCATAGTTATACAAGAATATTCTCGGCACTCATCGTGTGCTCTCAAACATTTGTCTTCTTTTCCTCTTCAAACACTCTGACATGTCCTGCGCAAGATGCAGTGTTCATCCCCAGCAGATGGTGCTGTTTAGGGAGCTTGCAGAACCTGGGAAGGGAAGCATGGCTGGTTGGGAGTCAACTGGAGGCAGTCCTATGTGCTCAGCTTGTTCCCAGTACCATCTCTGCCTCCTGATTCACCATACAGTAACAGGGTTATGGTACAAGATCTAGCCACCAGGGACTGAGCCACTTGGCCACTGTGCCTTCACTGCCACCATAACTGGCATCTCCTGAAACAGCCAGAATAAACCAAATTGTCGGGCATTTTGTCAGTGGTGGGTGGGGAAGTAACTAAGACAGACTACAAAGCCTTTCTCGTGTCCTTGACCACCCAAGAGCTTGCTGCTATTCCCTCTCCTCCAATTCTTCAGGTCCTGGTGAAGCCAGGCTTACTATAAATGTCATGTCATCTCCCAGCCTTCACTGCTGCCCTCTGTAGCCAATCTTGCCCAGTCGACTCGACACTACCCTTTCCCATGGTTTTGGTCCCTGGTGTCTTCTCTTTTGCTCACTTGTCACTATCAGCAGGCCACTGGAGCTCTGGAGCTGGTACATTCTATCAGATCCTCTCCAAGGCCCTGTGTCAGGGATTCTTAAGCAGCCAAGTATCACAGGCTGATCACAGTTAAACGCTGTGCATAAACACTACACTTGATTCCAAGGAAGCATCATGTTCTCTAAAGGCTGGTGTTCAGTAAAAACTGAATCAATATTTGACTTGCACAGGTTGTTCAAAGCCATAATCACAAACATATCCAATAACCCCATAAGAAATATCGCACATTAATGTTTTATTATAAAGGCAGGTACTATATAGCAAACAATTGATTTTATTGAAAGAAAACTTGCCCTAAGTGGAATATGTAAGACCAGTCATAGTGTAATATTAGTGTAATAACTTGCCAACCAGGCAGGAGACTCAAGATATTTCTCTTGCTTATGTATCAGAGGACACATGATTTAATCCTTTAAAAAATGGACATTTCATTTACTTCAAACTTTGTCTAAGTTATTGTTTTATTGCTGTAAAGAAACACCATGACCAAAGCAACTCATAAAAATGTACTTGGTGGTCTGTCTGCTTACAGTGTTAGAAGGTTAGTCCATGCCTATCCTGGCAGGAAGCAGGCAGGCACTGCACAGGAGCAGGAGCTGAGAGCTTTACATTCTGATCAACAGGCAGCAAGCACAGAAAGAAAACACCTCGCACAGGCTTTGAAACCTCAAAGCCCACCGGTGGCACACCTCCTCCAATAAGGCCGCACCATCTAATCTTTCCCAAGGAGTTCCACAACTGGGGACCAAGTTCAAATATATGAACCTAAGGGTGTTATTCTTATTCAAATCACCACAAAGTTACTGGGAAGAAATAAGCACAGCAAACATACTATAGCACTTAGACCTGTGTACTTCACATTGAATTAATCAAGCAAACTCAATTCCCAGCAACATGCACACAGTGTAACAACACGCTACTTCAACTGTCAGAAGGAAAATAACAGGTCTTTGGGAATTTCTCCCCAGATCTAATGCAAAAATTCTTTAAGATAAAAAGCATGATGTAACTTCTTTCAAACACAGCTGTAACCTGATGAACGCTACCCACCTTCTTTCCAGTGTACAGACTTCTGACGTCCCCTGCCCACCCCTCCCCACCAGCCATCCTGCAATGTCTCCAGATATGTTTGAGCACTGGGGAGTGGGAAGGAGGATGTTGTGGGCACCTAGTGGGTCAAGGTCAAGCGTGCTGCTAAACATCTCACAGTGCACAGCACAGCTCTTCACAAATACTCCCCAGCCTCATGTAACTTAGATGCTGTCCTACATGAAGAAAAAAAGTCCAGAGGAAACAGCAGCTGACAAGACATATGAACATCGCCATTGCCTCCGCCACCTACCTTGGATGCCTGGGGTGTGGAGACCACGTGGATTGTGCTGGGTTTGACACCGTTGGCCTTGGTCCGCTTATAAAGGGCAAATCTGCTTTTCCTCCTGCCCCTGTCACCATTAGGTAAAGCACCATTGTACCTACAGCAGAGACAACAAAAGCGTTCAGTTGCTCGTGAGTTTTTAAAATGTTAGTGTGAGCATTGGTGCAAGAGGACAGGAAGGGCCAGAAAGCTGCTCACTGAGCCCCCATGGAAGGGGAGGGGATGAGTAGACTTCAGCTGCAATAAAGCCCAAACCACTTCCAGATACTTCATTTAAAAGTGACGGACAAGTGATTATAGGTTTCCTATTCTATAAAGACAGACTCCTCAAATCTTTCTCAGAAGAGACAAGGGTATGAATAAGCAAATGAGCATTCTGCAGAGGCTGTACAAACGCTGGCTGGATTCGGCTAGAGCCGGTCTAACAGACCTTGGAAAACCACTTAAGTATTTTAAATGAAGTCGTTAGAAAAGAGTATGCTAATTAAGCCTCATTTCTTACTCTCAAATCATGCTAATGCTTTCTATAAGATCTTTATTTGCAAAAAGACTAAATTTAGTCACTTTCTTCAGTTTTGATGCCCGTATGTATTCTCATTTGTTTGAACCCTACATGGCTAGGTTAACAGAAAAAAAACAGCTCGTACAAATTACACATGAGTTTTACTCAGTTCTAAAAAAACTTGGAAGGTAAACAAGTCTTGAGGTAGATTGCTTATGTTTAGCTAATGCCAGAGTTTCAAGAAATTCAGGATTACAGCTGACAGCTTGGTTTCAACTGCATGTACTAATCATGGCTCAACTACTAATCTCTGAATGTTTTAACCAGCATCCCATGTGGCCATGCGGATTTGACTAAGACTCTTTGCTGGCACCATGGAAGAGCTTCCTCCCAAGAGAAGATGTGAAAGAGAATCATATAAAATTTACCAGGATAAACACAGCTGCTCTAAGGCCCTCTGAGAACACCACAGAGAAGGGCCACAGCTCTGGTGGCCTGTGACTACTCTGTCTTATCCAACAGACCCTTGGCTTGACTCCTCCCGCTCTGTACAGGAAATAGATATGGTGGAGGTGTGGGGTGAGGCCCCTGGGAACTGAACACTTTGGAACAAAGGGGTCTGGGTGTACTTATAAGGGCTGAGTCAATAGCTCTACCAGACAGTGGTTTTACATTACAATGAAGTTATTTGTACTGTCATTTGTTTCCATGCCCACCCCAGAAGAATGCCAGCTACCTAAGGATGTCTCCAGACTAAAGAAAAGAATGTTTCAAGTTTTAGGAGTCTTTTTACCCTGAGGCAAAAATTTTTTAAAATGTACATTTTGCCTGTCTGCAATCACTAGTATCAAGTACTCATGAGTCAAAGAATCACCACAGACTTAGTTGAATATATTCTGATGCCACTTAACTCAAGATCAACAGCATGCATGCATGCATGCATGCATGCATGTATGTATGTATGTATGTATGTATGTTTGTATGTATTAAAGGAAACATGTGAACCAATTAAAGCCAAGATAGTCAACAACTTGGAGAGCTTCTTTCACTGCTGTGGAGTGGACAAACTACAAGTTCTGTCAAGGTTTCCCTTGTCATACAGTTTCCTCACTCGTACACTCCCAGTCAGGGAGCCCAGCCTGGGCAGTGTGCCAGGCAGTGTAGCTCTCTGCTCAAAACTGAATTCCCTTCTCCCGAACCTGCCCCTTCCCTCACAGTACCACTCCCTGATTGGGTAAGATGGGACTGTCAGCATCTTCCTCTGTCCCTATCCACTTTACATCTGGTCCAATCTGGTCAACAACATCCTTGTGCTAGGACACATAAAACTGGGACAAGGGACAACTAACCATTTTCAGTGGGTGGCCTGAGTCCCATAAACACAGAGCTGTGGGAATGTCACATTCTGGCTGAACCAGAAAGTGAGGGGAAACAGAATCCATACGGGCTTTTATGGGCTTACATGTTCCTCTAACCCTCATTCATGAGAGGATGTTTCACAGCCTCAAAGCTATATCCAGCACAAAGGGAAGGAGTCAGAAATGCCAGCACATGCAGAAACAATTTAATTTAAACTGCCTGTGTTCGTGCATAGATGCACAGATACTGTAGGTTAAACAAATACAGCAGCGCATGTACAGACTGCCTACTTAATATATCCAGACAATGACAAGTGCAAAGTCCTATTGGAAACAAAACAGTGGAAGGAAAGCAATGAGTGGAGTTTCTCATTAGATTAAGCGCTTAAGCCATACACTCAATGTTTATCAGCGTCCTGCCTAAACAGAGCCTTCTGTCTGTAAGGAGTGAATAAGGTGGTGTTAGAAATACACCGGACAAGAGGAGCTAGCAGTGCACAGAGCAGGGGAAGACACTCTGGAGTTGTTGTGAATCCAAGCCAGAGGATTAGATGTGGAACACACAGAGCAAGAAGATTCAGCGAGTCTCAAGTTCTAAGTTCCAGAAGAGTAAAAACTGTGGGATGGAGGGAAGAGCAGGCACAGTGAGAATATATGAGGGGAGTACTGCAGGAGAAGTACCTGGGTTTCTCATCCTAGGGAGAACAGGGAGTCTGGTAGGATTTGCTCAGTTAGTGTGACAGGACCTAACTCTAATGACAAGAATCTTCAAGAGGCACTCTGAAACAGAGGCGGAGACCATGCAAAGATGGAGGGGAGCCATAAGGCACAAGCACACTCCAAGGAATTCCTGGAGCCACCTACAGCTGAAACAAACAAGGAAGGCTCTCCCCTGGAGCCATTGGAGGCCACAGGGTCCTGCCCACACCTAGATCTCAGCCTTAAGCCTTCCAGGACTGTGAAAATGTAAACACCTGTTGTTCTAAGCTATCAAGTAGGTGCTCGTTTGTTATAGAAGCCCAGGAAATTCCACAGGCTGAATCAAAGAAAAATAGTGGGAATGGGCTAGGGCATGATACAGAGATGGCAGAGAAAAGTCAGCATCACCAGGAAGTCTTATAAAAGTATGGAAAGCTACACCCCGGGGATTATAATGCAGCACGGGGTTCCAGGTCCACAAATACGTGACACTCCACAGGTTGTACTTATGTAGGAGGAAAATCCAAAACAATTCAACAGTATGGACAGGGAAAGGAAAACTCAGAGAGGTTCTGGCCTGGCCAGGGCACTTCTGAGACGAGTACTGGAATTCCGTGTTATCCAGAGATGACAAGCAGAGGATAGCTGCCATGGGCCCTATTCACGTAGCTCAAGCGCAGGAAAGGCTTTCCCTAGAAGGACTCCCTTTGTAAACTTGGTATACTTTGTAAACTCTGTTAACCCTCAAGGCAGGAAAGTATCAAGCCCCCACTCCCCACTCCTGTTCCCCTCCACACAGAGACACACACACACAGAGACACAGACACACAGACACACACACACACACACACACACACACACACGAAGCTCCAGCAGCCAGGCCACCCCCTAACTGTCCTAATGGAATTCCCAGCCTCTGTAAGTGTCACAAAGGTCATCTCCAGCCCCTCAACAGGACCCACCTCAGATTATATGAGTTTTAGGTGAAAAGTCTGAACAAAAGCCACCAATCCCTGAATGGGGAAACCCATCAATTCCTGAGCTCCCCCAAGTTCAGGACTTGAAATTCTACCAATCCTCCCCCCAGAAATCTCCAAGCTAGAAAGCCCCACACCCTCCAAGAATCCCTACAAAAATACTGCGCTTTGTCCAATTCTCTGCTAACAGCTCCCTCCCAGGAACATAGGCGGCCACTCCTGAATTCATCCCTCCACACCCTGGACCCTCCAATAAATCTCTTTTATGAGATTTGCTGCCTGGTATGACTCTCACCAAAAGAAGACAAGAAGCAATGAAGAAAAAAAGCAAAGAGAAGGCTGCTGATCCTGAGCTCCTCAGCTCAGCTGGGGATTCCACCCCTGCTCCACCTCAGGAACTGCAAGGCCTCTGCTGAGGAGACCTCCTCAGAGCTGTGTGGTTCCTGGGCTCACCTGTCTCAGAATACCCTTCTTTTGGAACACTGTCTCACCTCAGAGCTGTGTGGTTCAGGGTGTTTTCCCATCAGAGCAAAAAGGCCAACAATTTCTTTGGGCCTTTGCTGTGGGATGTTAGCTAAAACAGAGAATGAACAAGAGCCCTGTTCAAGAAAAAGGTGCAGAGAGGGAAACAGATAAAGCTGAGGCAGTGGTTACAGATGGAGACCACTACAGAAAACTGCCATTCTTAGGCATGGGCAGGAGGACCAAGACCAGAACAACGTTTTATCACAAAGACAGAACAAATCTCTGTGAGTATCTAACCAGGTCAATGGGGCACGTGCAATGGTGGTCTGGAACAGAACAGGCCATGATGATCTCACCATCTTCACAAACTAAACAAAGCCGATGCCCCCAACCCTATGCCTCCCTGAGCCTCCAGGATGGCTCCAGCCTGAGTAGCAGAATTCTAGGAAAGCACTGTACATCCATCTCCCACACCAGTTTCCCAGATTCACCTTATGCTGACTCCATCAGCCTATGATCACTTGATTTTTGTCTCAAATGGAAAAGTGCACTTAGTCATCGATCATGGACGCCCAACATCCTTCCGCCATTCCTCTTCAAGGTCTTCCAGAGGCTTTCCTATGAAGGAATGTGCCTGGTGGGCTAAAGAGGGTCACAAATCCCTCATCACTGCTTCACTGAAAAGTGGAGCTAACTTCCTCTTCCCTAAATGTGGGCTGACCTTCATGGCGTATGACTTACTAGATTCAGAAGGAGGTGAGAGTCTGAGATGTCCCAAGCCTGGTGTGACGATGTGTGGTCTCTACTGGGGATGCTGAGGACCTGAGCTGCCACAGGCAGTGCTAAGGTGCTGTGCTTTGGAATGGCTGGTGATGCTCGAACAGCATTCATTTGATATCCAATCAATTTCAGGTCTGGAACTCAAGCTTCTATCAACCAGCTCTCCTCCCTGTCCCTCCCATCTGGTCCCACTACCCCTAGAAAACTGTGACAGGCTTGGGGAAGTCGAGGCACCTGGCAGTGTGCACCAGAGACAAACAGTAGGCACCAAGAGCCAGCTAGGCTAATGGAGCGTCTTTGCTATGGTAGACCCAAG